ATAGATTGATATTATTAATAATAATGATAATGGTAATGATAATGATAATGATAATGATAGTGATAGTGATAGTGATAGTGATAGTGATAGTGATAGTGATAGTGATAGTGATAATATAATGATAATGATAATGATAATGATAATAATAATCAGAGGTCGATTAGTTAGGCGCACTCATTTTTCTAAAGAGGACGTTTTTGTTGTTTTTGCATTATTATCAACATTTATGGATCACTAGTTCGACACATGCTCGGCATGAAAGAGTGCCGAGTCAAAATAGATGTTGTTTTCTTAACGACCGTAAACACTCATCAAATGCAAATACGAAAAGTGATCTCGGCTCGTAGTGTAGCAGTAACCTTAAAATATACACATGCTTAGTTATAATAATAATAATAATAATGATGATGATGATGATGATGATGATGATGATGATGATGATGATGATGATGATAATAATAACTTTATTAATGTCTCTATATCTTCTAGCCGGGCACAAGTGCCCTACTAATCGGGGAGACAATAATAATTAGATGACAGGCTAGGGATACTTGGATCCTGTGTACGCCTGTAATTGCTTCATTCATAACCAATATAAGCAAAATTTAGCATGCAATCGCAATTTGATGTTTTTGCATATTTTAGATGGCGACCAAGGAATATACAGACGAGGAGCTCAACTACTTCCGTCTATGCTACGTCTTCACTCATAATGTACCTGAGGGATTACGAACAGTTTTCAAGCAACAATGGAACGCGCGTTACCAGGCTACACTCGGCGAATGGCTTGATGAACCCAAAAATGCAACTGATTTCTGCAACATGGAATCGTCTAAAAATCAAAAACGTAATAAAAAGCTTCTCGCTGTCATGGCAAACGGTAACACTAAAGATTGGGACTGCACTTGTCTCTTTTATGCTCTTCTTTTCTCAGATTGTCTCGGGCCATTTCTAAATACCACTGTACAGACAAACGTTGACGAACTGAGAAAAATCCGCAATAAAGCTTTTGCCCACACTGCTGATGGAAGGTTTACAGACGTGGATTTTGAAGACGCCATGCGGAAAGTCTTGACTGCCTTTAAGGCGTTAGGGCTGGATACGACGGAAGTGGATGAAGTGAAAACCCAGAAAAGCTTTCCGACAGAGGAACTAAGTAGTATTCAACAACAGCTAAATAATGAGAGGAAACTTTATGTCAAATTTCATTCCTTCTGTGACTTACCACCCAAACCTTCCCATCATACCACTGATCGCGCAGATGAAGTCACGACAATAAACTACGAGATGGAAAAGTTGAGAAGCACAAAGAAAAATGAGACGACGGTCATCTACTTGTCTGGTAACCCCGGATGTGGAAAGAGTGAGATTGCCAGGCAGATTGGAAATAGCTACTTTAACAAAGTTCCTGGAGAAATAGAGCAACTTAAGTTTGTATTCACCTTCGATGCATCCAGCATCGACACGCTTCTGGGATCGTACGTGGATTTTGCTGCCAGACTCAACTGTGACGAAGAATCTGTTACCAGAATTGCGACATCAAAAGACCTCTTCCCCGAAGAAATAGTCAAAAGAATGAAAGGTTTGATCAATCCAAAACTGCAGATTTATTCATCGTGGCTGATCATTGTGGACAACGTGAACAATCTGAAATTAATTTCAAAGTACTTGCCTAAAGCAGGAGAAAAGACAAGTGGTGATGGTCAAATCCTCGTCACCACTCAAGACAGTCAATCCATTCCACTTGACCCCTATACATATCATTATTCATCTCTTAAGGTTGGGATGCGAGAAGAAGACACCATTGCGTTACTTTCCCAAATCTCTGGTACTACGAGTGATCGAGACACTTTACTTAACATTGCCAGTGCTCTTGATTTCCAACCGCTTGCTTTGGCTTGTGCAGCTGTATACGTGCAGCGAATACTCAACTCTACTGACCAATGTAAAACCAAATGGGAGAACTATTTGCTCGAGCTACAAAAAGGAAAGCGTGAGGCAACCGAAGACTCTTACAAACAGACAAGTTCGACGTATCAATTATCAATGACAGCTGCTGTCAGGCTTGCTCTTGAGAGGGTAGTAATTGAAGACAAGATTATGATGCATGCTTTTCAGTTCCTGTCAGTCATAGCTAATGAACCAATACCATTGAAATATGTTGTGCAATATGTAATGAGCTGTATGCCTGATAAAGACCAAAACGTTGTTACTACTCATGTGAGTTTGAGTTCGCTTGTCATTTTATCTGAAGATTTAGAAATTTCAAAAGTAGTTTGTGTTCATCAAGTGGTTTACCATGGCCTGCAGAAATTGTTCGAGAATGACGAAACGAATATTTTGAAAGTCGTGATGTCAGGATTTTCAGACCTTATTTCATTTAAGAACGTTTACAATGTGACGAAGGCAGAAATCATTGCCACACGATCGTTCACGCCACATTTTGTGGTTATATCAAGAAAACTCAAACACTTATTGCATAATTCCAGCCTCACCCTTGAATCGGTTACGGCCGACTATTTATTCAAAGCAGGAAGTATCTGTCTAGTGCACGGAAGTTATGAGGCCGCTGAGGTATTCCTAGAAACATGTTTGTCAATCCAACAACGAGCATACCATAGTGGTCCAGAAATGGCTCAAGGGCGAAAATGGACTTGCAGTGGAAATCTAAGTGTTGGCTTGGCCACTACTCTCAAAAGTCTTGGTCACTTATATATTAATCTAAGGGATTTCAATAAAGCACATACGCATCTGAAGGCAGCACTTGTAATCAAAGAGAGATTGCAGGAAGCAGATGATCCGGATTTGGTTATTACCTTGAAAAAGCTAGGCTTCTGCCTCAAGCAACTTGGGCAACACAAAAATGCAGAAACACATTTACAGAGGGCTCTGGCGATCCAAGACAAAGGTTGTAGTAAAAACGATCCTCTATTGGCTGGTATACTAGTTAATCTAGTTTTGGTACTTCAAAGTCAGGGAAAATTAAAAAACGCCAAGACCTATTGTGAAAGAGCTGTGGAAATCGTGCAAAATCTCCATAACATTGATGAAGATCCACAACTAGCTGTCACGATGAATGACCTTGGGGCATGCTTTTCACGATTTCAAAACATACAAAAAGCAAGAACTTATTTTGAAAAAGCACTAAAAATAAGTGAAAGTGTATATCACGCAAATCATCCATTCCTTGCTATTCCCCTACGAAACATTGGAGTTTGTTTGCTCAAATTAAGACAATTCGAACAGGCAATAGCTTCCTTGGAGAGAGCGCTGTCCATTCGTGAGAAAGAAGGCCACGAAAATGATCCACTACTGGCTAATACGCTAGATAACCTTAGTCTCTGCCATAAGGAACTAGAACAATACGACAAGGCTAAAGCGTACTATGAGAGAGCACTGCCCATTCGTGAGAAAGGAGACAATGAAAATGATCCACAACTGGCTACTACGCAAGAAATCTTTGCAAACATGTACTTGAGTAGAGCAACATCTTGTTCAATCTTGTAATAATATTACATATATAGATATTTTAATTAGGCTGGGATCTACGTGTTAGCGACCCATTTTAAATCAAATTAAAAGCTTTAGCAACTCATTTCTTGATCGATCCATCCGTTGAATGGCTCAAAAGGTAACCGTTTATCATCACTGAGAAGAGAAAACTGGGGCCACGATAAACGGCTTCTTTGGCACCAATAATTGCGAACGCTTCGAGCTAACTATGAAAAAGAGTTTTACACTACAACAAGTTTTATCCCACCGTTGCTCTTAATTCAGCCCTTTGCTTAGATAAAGGTACCAGGGAACCATCACGACCGATGTTCACTAAAAACAATATTGTGCAATAACTAGTCATCTAATGTCTATAAAAATATTTATTTTCTTGACGCTAAATAAACACAAATTTAACCACATTGATCATTTTTTGATCAATCACATCAAGGTTTTTTTTAGAACGCGAGTTCTAGAATTTTTAGAATTATCCAACATGTTCGTAGCCACAGGAATGTCAATGGGAGGAGTCTATGGACCAACATTGTTCAAAGATGTAGACTTTGGTTGGCTGGATTTTGTCGTTTTTTCGAGAGCATCTAACAGCTGTTTTGTAACAACATCATCGTCTGTCTCTTGGTCAGGGAAGTCATGGGCCTTTTCAGCTGAAACCGCTTCTTTTAAACGAGCTTTGTTCTTAGTAAGAAAAATATCAAGCAATTTCCTGGGATGTTTGTTCAAATAATGACTTGATTTGATTGATTTGACAACCGTTTTCCTAGGTATTGTTTCTTGTGAAGACTTAACTTTTGAAATTATGGTTTTAGAATTGTTTCTTTCACTAAGTAAATTGTTTAGGATTTTTGCTGCGGAGTTTCTTAATGCATTCTCATGGGAGTCATTATTTCTATATTCATGTCCTGTTTCCTCAAGGGCCTCCAAAAGGTCTTTAGTTAAACTGCTATTGTTTATTAAATTTCGTCCATTGTAAGATGCTAAGTGTTCATCTAAGGCAGAGACTTTGGATTCCATTTTATATGTTGTATTTCTACTCGGTAAGCTTGACAATTTTTGTCCCGATAAATATTTTTCCTTTTTTGATGAATGGTATTCTGTGTTTATTATTCCTGCAATTTCACCAGTGTTACCTTGGTATTGTGCTTTTCTAAATTGATTGATTTGCGCTCTGTCATATACAAACATATCCTCACCATCTTCGTCTTCTGTGTCTTCCTCGTCCTCATTTTTGTCTTTTCTTTTGTTACTGCTTTTTGAGCTCCAACTCCAGCTTCCTCCTTTGCTACTTTTTGAGCCTCCTCCACCCTTACCTCCTCCTCCTCCACCACCACCGCCGCCGCCACCTCCTGCTCCTGCTCCTGCTCCTGCTCCTGCTCCTGCTCCTGCGCCTGCGCCAGCACCCCTTCCACCTCCACCTCCTTTGAGTTTCCATCCACCTCCTCCCCCAGCAGCACCTCCTCCACCAGCAGCACCTCCTCCACCAGCAGCACCTCCTCC